AACCGAGAATATTGTTACAGTTTTATACGTACAAACAAAATATTGTTATAGTAGTCATCACTAATAGATGGATATATATATATATATATATATATATATATATATATATATATATATATATATATATATATATATATATATATATATATATATATATATATATATATATATATATATATTGAAAAAACTCATCAAATATTGTTACAGCAGTCATTGTAAAATAGTAGTTTGAAAAAACTCAGCATATAGAAGATATTGATACCCAATTTGATTGAAAGAAAAAGAGAAGAATCACCAAAATAGCACCATCACTTAATCAACTAAAGAATGATTGTCTTGAAACTAGAAGATTTAAAAGGAGTGGAACTAAATAAGCGAGGACGATAACAGGCTCATCGACATGGGAAATGTTAGTAGTTGAATAGTTGATAGTTAATATATGATAGTTTAAGAAAAAAATTTAGAAAGAAGGTTATGACATTAATTTTTTGGATTATAATTTACAAAGTACGAATTGCCTATTTATAGGCTCAAGTCAGCAACCTCTCAATGGTGGTGAATGTTTCTACATTATTTTATTTATTTCTAGATGTTTCATGATAGATTAATATCATGATAGTTCTAGGTTCTTCTATCATTTCCATACACTTATAGTTATAGGTTATTCTACCTTTTCATACACATTATACTTCATCTGCCCATCTATCAGAGAGAGCAGTCACAAGTTTGACTATCTCATAGTTAAATTCATCTTCAAACTCATCATCATAAGACCAAGATACAGACAAGCCCATTTTTTATTTCTTGAGATATGTGGGACATTTTGGCTTGATGTGACCAAAACTCTCACACTCATAACATTGTATTCCTTTTCTTTGATTTGACTTCTCTTCAGTCCTGGCATTCTTTTGAGAGTCATTATTATTTTTGATGTCAGATGTGATGTTCTTGACACCTGATTTTCCTTTTCTGTCCATTTTCTTTAGAATTATGTTGAATTGCTTCCCAAGTAATACAATGGTATTTGACAGTCCTTCATCAGTATCCAGGTCAGCTTTACCCTCTTTATCTTCAATGTTGGAGACAAAGGCTATGCTCTTGTTCTTCTTCTTAGACTTGTCACTAATAGCCGTTTCAAAAGTTTTAAGTGAACCAACAAGTTCATCAAATTTCATGTTGTTGATATCTTAAGCTTCTTCAATGGTAGTTACTTTCATATCAAACCTCTTGGGGAGAGACCTGAGGATCTTCCTAACCAGCTTTTCTTCTGGTATTTTCTCTCCTGGAGCACTAAAGGCATTGGCTATTTCAAGAACATTCATGTGAAAATCATGAATACTCTCATCCTCCATCATCTTCAAATTTTCAAACTTGGTAGTCAATAGCTGAAGTCTGGACATTTTTACCAAAGAGCAGTTTCATCTTCCTCCTTGGTCCAATCCTCTTCTGGCTTCAAAGTCTCCTTCCTATCTTTATCTTTAACCACAGGGTGCTCTCAATCCTTGATGATAGCCTTCCAAGTTTTTCTATTCATAGATTTTAAGAAAGCCACCATATGTATCTTCCAATAGTCATAGTTAGTGTCATCTAAGACTGTGGGTCTGTTAACATTTCCTCCTCCTTCCTTTTCCATAGTACTAGAATACAAACTCCCTGGAGTTCACCCAAAAACAGAACAGGATGATCCGCTCTGATGCCAATTGAAATTCTAGCACTTTAACACAGATGTCAAGACTGATGTTCCAACACCAAAACACAATGTCAAGACAGATATTAAGACATCATCTGCTGACAGAAAACAATTAAATGCAGAAGATAAATTGCAGAAGAATAAAATAACACCAGTAGTTGTTAACCCAGTTCGGTACAACTCACCTACATCTGGGGGCTACCAAGTCAGAAAGGAAATCCACTATAATAGTATTAGTTCAAAGCTAAACTCCCTCGTTTACAACTTATCACCTAATCACTACTTATGCTAACTTCTACTTAGGAACTCCTAGATATAAGAAATCCCTCTCACTTTTCACCAGTCACAAACCAGTGACAATTCAACAACACCAAAATAGAAGTAACACACTTCCAAGACAATACTTAATTTTGCTTAAAAGCTTCAACTAAGAATAATACACTCTTTCTTAAAAGCTTTAGAGTAAACAATTAACAATAAACAATCATTCAACTCAATGCATCAAAACCGATACAAGAGTGACATACAAAAACACAACACACTAAAAGAACACTCAAACCCTTAACCTTTATTCACGGTTTCTTCAATGATAACACTTAAGTTTCTAGGTTTAGAAGTCTCTTTATATAGACTCTTGTAGAATGGGCTTTGACTCTTCAATCAAATCCAATCTTCCAGTTGTAAATCACCTGCAGAATCTTTTTCCCAAAAATAGGAACAAATCTTCAAAGTTTCCTAAAAGGCCTCTATGATCCTTTTTATGAAACCAAATCAAATCTGCAAAAAATATCCATGTTTAGCTGCGCCTGTATGAGAACTAAAATCATCCAGAATCTCATATTTTAAAATCAAATCTTTAAGGATTTAAAATAGAAAATTGTTTTAATGTTCTGGTATAACATGTCACAACATCTGTCAAAACATCTGTCAAGAAAAGTAACAACAGACTCTGTTGCACCAGTTGGTCAAGATGTCATGACACCTTGCTCAACATCTGACTGTGATACATATTTTTTCAAATTAAACATGCTTTACCAAAATTGTTTCCAATCATAAAATCACAGACCTAACAAGTTTAAAATCTCTTCTTAGAGATTGAAGTTTAACGACATGTACCTTGCCGCTTCTTTGAAACTCCTCTTGCAGCGTGCTCCATGCTTTTTTTGACAATTTTACCTCCCATAATTCTTGAAAGAATTGCATCAGTCATCACTTGGTATAAAGTGAACAATGCTTTTGAATTTTTTTTGTTTATTTTTCTTCAACTCTTTTTCTTAAGTTGCATTAAGAGCTGAGGTATTCATGGGACTGGTGAAGTCTTCTTCTACTATGTCACACAAATCTTGTGATGAAAAAATGTCTCCATTTTAACAAGGCAAAAATCATAATTTATGGACAACAATAGATGATGATTGAGTGGTGTTATTCATAGTTTAGAAAAATTATTAGAGTGGGTTAATAGTACAAGAAAAAATTTATTAAAGTTGTTGAGAGGATTTTGAAATAGTAGGTAGTAACTACGCCCAATGTATGACTGAATGTAGCTCTGATGTTCCTATTAGTAGTTGAATAGTTGATAGTTAATATAAGATAGTTTTAGAAAATTCTTTAAAAAAAAGACTATAACATTGATTTCTTAGATAATAATTTACAAAGTACCAATTACCTATTTTTGGCCTCAAGTCAGCAACCTCTCAATGGTGGTGAATATTTTTACATTATTTTAATTATTTTTAAATGTCACATGATACATTAGTATCATGATAGTTCTCGGTTCTTCTATCATTTTCGTACACTTATAGTTCTAGATTATTCTATATTTTTCATACACATTATAGTTCTAGACTCTTCTACCATTTTCATACAAATTATATTTAAAAATATTTTAAAAATTTGTAATAATTTCAATAGGGACAAACATCGATCATTTTTCTCTTTCATACAACAATGATTATGTTCTTTAATTCGCATGAAATATTCAAAAGGTCTTATAATTTAAGACGGAGAAAGTATGACATTGATCTTTTGGATGATAATTTACAAAGTACCAATTGACTATTTATAAACTCAACTCACCAACCTCTTAATAGTGATGAATATTTCTACATTATTTTAATATTTTCTAAATATTTCATGATATATTAGTATCATAATAATTCTAGTTTTTTCTATCATTTTCATACACGTATAACTCTAGGTTATTCTACATTTTTCATACACTTTATATTTCTAAACTCTTCTACCATTTCCACAAACATTATATTTAAGAATATTCAAAAAAATTATAATTATTTCAACCGGGATAAACAATTACTAAGTTAACTCCAATAATATCGACGAGACAAAACAGCAATGACTTGCACGATCTTGGTGGCGGTACGACGGTGAGAAGAAACGAAACTGAGAGAGGAGACTGAGAAAACCGTGTGCATCAAAGCAATGGGTCATCATAAAGAAATGGGTATTTTTATCTGGTCTAAAACATATATAATTTATGTTTTTTTAATTAAAAAAAAAAGCACATGGCTGTATTTTGAAGCATTTGATTGATCCAATGGCAGAACAACTAAAAGGCACGGTGACTTTCCCGTGAAACTCACTAAAGCATAATCCCCTTATTATACTTTGGTGTGTAGAATCAAAGTCCTCGTAACCAAAATGACTTAATATACCAATGTGGGTAGAAAAAAGGTCTTTGTAAGATTAATTGATATGTCGAGGTCTTCATAAGCGAAGTCTCCATAATACATGACATGCAGAGGTATATGTTGAATTGAAATGTCCATAAACAATTTATTTAGATATGTCGAAGTGATCGATATGACAAGGATTTGAATTCAAAGGAAGATTTTTCCCTGAAGTTCTAGCCATTAAGTTTACAAATGATACACTCTACTCCCTACCTATACTATGAGTTCTGCTGATTATGGATTGAGCTTCAGGGTAGAAGGGTGTGTAATTCCAATTTTCATTTTTTCTTGCCAAGATTGAGAAATTGAAATCCAATAGATGATTATTTACACCCAAAAAAAACATCATATTAGTCGAGCCTGAGTCTTAACGTGTATCAGAAGTAAATAACATGCAACACAGAACAATAAAATTACACTAGAAATATTGACTACGCTACTCTCAAAATAGGCCGTATCACTAAAACTCCATCTCATAAACCTTTGATATATCTATGATCAGGCCACAATCTTAAACGGCCATATGGCTGTAGTTTTTATATGACTGATATGTAAATATAGTCTCTTTGTATAATGCAGAAACAGCAGCAAAAGCATTCCCATCACCTGAAAGTATCAAATCATGATCCTACAAATTTGTTCAAGGCTGATGTGTCTAAACCTGCAAACTCTTTTACAGCTGCAAGCACAACAAGTCCAAGCTTCACAGCATCTTCGTTATTACGTGCCTACAGTATCATGTATGTTCATTTTAAATCAGTTGCAATGTTCAAAATTGCATATTAAAATTCCAACACAAGTTGTTAAGGCATTTTACCTCAATGTTAAGGGGAAGTACAGGATCATGAAGTGATAGTCTAAGAAGGAACCACCCACCATAGCCAGAAACTCTGATCTGATTGAAGATTAGAACAGACAAGATATGATAATTTATTATGAAAATACAAACTCTACATACCAATCATTGCAGATTAGAAATTTGCACACATCATATTGTAAGCAACTTCCAACTCCAGAACATGTGATGGTCTTAGTATAATTTCTCAATGAAAAACTTTAGATGATGATCAATGTTTATAAGTTAAACAAGCATAAAACACAAAGATATAAGCATACCCCTTCATAGTTTACAGGAGCCTTTTGCAGATTTGGATCAGAGCCAATTGAGCTCTCCAAATGTTTCAGCACAGTTTCTCCGTATTCCCGAAAAGATCTGAAAGATTTGGTATGTCAGTGAATTCAAAACATTGGCATGAATGCACACTAACAAAGAACCGCTATACACCAACTTACCCTCCTTTAAGATCTGGATGGTTTTGGTTAATCTTTAATCTCAGTTCTGCAGCAAAACCTGGTTCCTGGAGCCCTTCTATTAGACCAGTCAAAACACTGCTTCCTCCACCCACACCAGAAGCTCTTGCAGAAGCAAGTTTATTTAAGATCTTGACCTGCACAATGTTGCTAATTCTAACTTCTAATAATTAAAACAAGTTTTTGACCTTATGATCTAATTCGTTGATTCTACAGTCTCGTGCAATATCACATTCTAATACAAGGTAGTGTCAACTGTCAAGTTAAGGCTTATTCGGTGCAAAGTAGAGGTACGAATATATTTACTCAATATGATTACAATAAAAACCTACCATTAGGTATGCACCATCATCAAGCCAATTATTCTCCTTAAGAGCTCCATGTCCACTGGTTTCAATTGCCAGATGTGACTCCTCGCCAATAGAGTTCTGCCAGCAATATTGCATCCATAGTTAAATATTTAGCAAATGTAGTGAAAACGAGACATTCAAATGTTAAGAAATTATAAACAGAAACAAGATGAAAATTACATGATATAAGCTAGAGATCTGGTTGGTTAGAGAAAACCCTTTCAATCTTCATTTCCTATTTTTATTTTGTTACAAAAATGCTACATTGTTTTTTTTACTTTGTTTACTGCATTCAAACATTTTGTTCAGGAAATAGTGAAAACAACAGTTGTACTATAATAACTAAAGTCAAAAAAGAAAATGGAAAATAAAACATTTTTTGAAACCTAATAAGCCCAAAGTATCTTAGCATGCATAGCTTCTGTCAGACTTGCCTTAATTCTATTTTGAAAAGAACCAGTTTCTATCAATTTTTTGAAATTTATGAGTTCTACTCTAATGTCTCATTTGAAATAAAGTTAGCCAAAATCCCAAGTTTCAAATTTGAAATAATGGTACACTCAAGTACTCAGACGGAAGGTTTTCCTTTAAACGGAAGTATAATTTATTGTGTTATCCGAAAACACTCATCATACCAATCGAATAGCTTCATCAATCACATTTTTGTAGCCTCTTTTGAACCGATGGTGTTTGCCACCTGAGAAAAAATAGTATTAGCAAATAATTGAAGCTTGTGATAAACTCATTAAGGGAGGAGGGAGGGATAGACTAAATTTAGGCCATGCCAACTTAAATTTGTCCATACCAAGTTTCTTTTCAATAAATGTGGTAAGGCCGTCAGAAGTCACGCTGTCTGTGACAATAGTTGTTCCGGGATGCTAGACAAAATGATGGAAGGAAACAGATTAAGAAGTATAGAGCAATGTAAGGTTAAAAAAATAGAATACCAAATGTACCTAACAATAAAAGCCTTACTTCTTCAAGAACAATAGCTGCCATTAAGGCAATCAAGCGATTCCGGTTGAACTCACGGCCGGTGGAATCCACAGCAGCAGATCTAGATGAAAGTCATTGATGTTCAATAATTCAAAGTGATGGATGTTTAACACATTCAAAGTCAGTGAAACCGATCAATAAGATGGTCCTTGCCTGTCCACATCAGTATCAAAGATAATTCCAAGATCAGCTTTGTTATCAAGGACAGCCTGGGTTATAGCTTTCATTGCTGTCTTGTCCTCGGGATTGGGGATATGGTTTGGAAACAAACCTGAATACAGAAGCCATTATTACTCAAAGTCCAAGTACAACACCTAGCTAAAATTAATCCCGCAATAAAGTTATTACCATCAGGCTCCAAAAATTGACTACCAGAAGTTATTGCCCCGAGAGGTTCCAGCACCTTTGCCTATTATTCACCAAAAAGTAACATTGAATATCAATCTTGATGCAAGTTGTAAACCATTTCCAAACAATTATATGTTCCAATTTTTTCCCAAACAAAAACCAGTAAGATTTGCTTCTCTTGGTATGGTATACTGATACGCCCTTTTTTATAGAAATTCCAAATAAAAATGTCTTCGACAAAAAGCTTATTTATAAAACATTAAAAGTTAAGGAGATTTAAAAGGCAACTTACAGCAAAAAAACCACCTGCTCCATTGCCTGCATCAACAACGATATGGAAACCCTCCAATGGTTTCTCTGCGGGCAGATAATGCAATAAAAAAAGAGAACAAGATCAAAACATTCAGAAAACCGATGACTAAAGAACTTTAAATTCTAAAATAACAAACTGAGTCATAAAGACAAAAATGTCTGTCAATTAAGAATTCCATTATTCCTCTACTTCATATAAAGAATAGCCCAACAATTCTGTCTCCAAACATATTGATTATTATGAAAATACTCTAGCAAATGGTTCAACCTTTTCCTGGACCCCACCATAGCGTAAGCATAAACCGCCAAGTTACCATTTTACTTTAGCAAAGTCATACCTATGTTTCCAGCTGCTTTGCGAACTGCTTTTACTAGATCAGATGTATACACAGACATGTAATCAACTGTCTTAATAGATACTGAAGCCTTTTTCTCAGAATTTGTTAAACTTTCTGCTGTAAATTGATTGTATAATTTTTCAGCTCGCTCTAAGATATCTTTGATGTCAGTCTTCCCAAGACCACCGGCATTGGTGAAAAATTTGAATCCATTTCTGTTGAAAGGTAGATGACTTGCTGTTCATAGAAAGAGACATTTAATAATTAAAACATGAATTCATATCTAAAATTACTTATCCATAAAAAGATATAAATATTATCCAAAGCAAATTGAAGTTCACTAAAAATCACCATTTACAACCAATGGACAATGACGGAAAAGTCCAGAGACACTAGCTAAACTCCATGGATGAAAGTAAGTCAATACTACAAGGAAATGTCACTTGACTACAACTTCATAATTTACCTGTTATCATAATAGACCCATCAACAGGACAAAGAAATGCTTCATCCTTTGTAAGTGTGCTGTTGAACATAGCTGGTGTTGATGCTAATCTACAAAGAAAACAATAGTATTAATTCACTAGACCATTAAAATAATAATTATAATTATTATTACTATTATTATTATTATTATAATTGTTATTATTATTATAATTGTTATTATTATTATAATTGTTATTATTATTATTATTATTATTATTATTATTATTATTATTATTATTATTATTATTATTATTATTATTATTATTATAAAATAATAATAACAACAAAAACAACAACAATAATTACTACAAAAGTGAAAATCATCAAATGTAATCACAATTATCAAAATGGAAACACAGGAGTAGTATGTCTAATCCCCTGAACTTATTGAATGGACATGTACTGAAAGATCCTAATAGATTTTGACTCCCTCCATTTCAAAATGACTGTGAGTTTAAAATTTTTGCACACGGATTAAGGAATGTAATAGTATTGTCATAAGACATTGCACTTTTACTAAATTTGTCTCATTAATGTGTTGGAAAAAGTGTACATAATAATAATTAAATGACACAAATGGAAAAATAATAATCATTTCTACATTGAAAAGTGAGAATGACAGTCATTTTGAAACAAAAATTTTTCTCTAAAACGACAGTCATTTTGAAACGGAAGGGAGTAATCGATACTGCCGTGTAAAAGTTATAAAGTGAACGGACATGTAGGAATCTGCTTGACCAGGCGACTGCCTACATTAGAGTTTGCAACAACTGACACTTCCAGTTCTTATTCAAATACAATAATATAAATAAAATAATGGCTGCAAAAAAGTAAATGCCGCCCACCCATATTGGACAACTTCTAAGCCAGCACCAGCAAGCCCTCGAGAAATCGCATTCTGAAATTGGAAGAATTGATCATCATATAGTACAATTTTAAAATATAAAATATCAAGCTATAGTATTCATACATATACATACATGCTCTCAAACTAGGAAGCTTGTTAACACAAGTACTTTTTGTAACAATACTATGAATTCACTTCAAAATCCAAACTACAAAACCATTGGAAAATCAACTTCAAAAGATAAATATTCTGCATGATGAAAGTTTACATAGATGCAAGTGAGGAAAATATGTATTTATTTGAGACACTGGAGTTCATTTTCATGTATCGGAAAATATGTATTTATTTGAGACACTGGAATTCTATTCAAACCAATATAAAAATTTACACAATCGATAAAGTCCGCAATATTATAAAGGTTGTTAAGATGTAATCAGTGATACGATACGATACGAGGAACAATCTAGACCTGTAGGAATTTGGCTGATATCCTGGAATCATGGCCAATGGAAACTCTCAAATGCTGAGAAGCATTTGCTTTCTTTTTCTCCACTAACCATGCGGCGAAAGCAGCTCCGATTGCTTCAGCAACAGGTTCAGTGAGGTTAACCCCCTCTCCCTCAACACCATCTAGAGCCACACCACGTATGTCACTATTTAAATTAATATCATTTAAAAGTAATACACAAGTTAGCATGCAGGAATGAAGACCTAATAGATGTCAATTATGTAAATAAAGCGGAAAGAAAATGGGCCTTTGCACCCAGAAGCTTCCCCAAAAATACTCTATCCATGCTAGAGTCGTCATTACAGGGAAAGGAAAAAAAAATTATAGTATTTTCAAAGATCAATCACAGAACGCCAAAAATAACGGTTTGTTCAAACTTCGATGCGCTGCAAGCTACAGCACTTTTGTGCTACTATACCCTCTATTTGAGAGCACTTACTAAATAGCTAGCATGGAGCAATAGTGATTTGTTCAAATTATGGTATCCTATAACCCCGCTAGAAAAGGTTGATGAATCTTCTAATATTTATGTATTAGGCGCTAAGACTAAGGTGCATTCCTAAGTAGAAAGAATATAATAAGCTTTACTGTTTCTTCTCCTTAATCAAAATGATAGCATACACCACATAAATTGAGTACAGCAATTAACAGTGTAAGGGAAAGGAAAGGAACAAAGAGTTCCTACTTTATGTCATATTTCCACTTTTTACCATTCAGAACTTCTACAAATCCTTTGACCAAATTAAGTCATGCAAAATCCCAACAACTAACAAATTTCTATTAAGACGAAAATTAGCAATGATATGCCTGGTACTGACCTGCCATTTTGAAGCTTTAGAAAGTCTGCTTTGTCAAGATGTGGCACGACGGTAGAAGATGCAGAAGCTGCAAGAAAAATCCAAATGGAAGAAACAAACATCCATTAGAAAACAAAGAAGTTAAAAACTGTCAAAAAGTAAATACATTAGCACGTGTGCGTATAAAAAGCTTGGGAAGGAAGGTGGGGGATATATGAGCAATATTTTAAATTGAAAACAGACAATTGCAGATAGAATATATAGGAGTTTTTCATTTCACTTTATTTCAACCTGTATGATAATAAGAGTCTAGAACAGACCATTGCAGAGAATATTTCTCCGGAAAGTAAAATTGTTCTGGGGTTTCGATAACGTGCGCAATTGCATGGAAGAGATGCTACTCCATGTCAACTTCCCTGGAGGAGAGGGAAGGAAGTTGCGCAAATAAGGGGCACAATAGTCCCTTCGACTCGGTGAACTGGACTGTGTATTCTGTTGGCAGCAGTGTGACATAAAAACATTTTGAACAATCTTCCCTGATGTTGCTGCAAATAAACATTTACATTTTTATCAGATTTCTGGACTCAAATTTAAATCTCTCACTCTCTCTAATATTGCTAACTAGTAAATCTTCCATCATCTATATCTCTCAATTTTATTGCCAACTAGGGTATTTTATCTCCCAATTCCAATTCAAAAATCAATAGTCTTTTACACTCTTGTTAAATTAAAAATAAAATTCAAATATTAGGCTAACCCTCAATTCAGTAGGGGAATGATTCGATAAATTCCACTGAAATCGTAGTATGAAATTGAAGTCACGAGTACAAGTACATTAAAATAACGAATGAAAAGCTGAAAATTGAAGTGTTGAATTGGATGAAAAATGAAAAATGAAAAATGAAAAATAGAGAGAATTGAATGAAATGGGAAATGGAGGAAAATTGACCTGCCATGCGATGAAATTGTGTTGCAGAGCTCTTGAATTGGTACAGCGGAGAAACTGATGGATGCGCCTAAGTTGTTCTGTCACCTTCCACACCAAATCAGTAACACAAGGAACAACCCCTTGCACGTGTAGGAGAAAAGACAAGGACGGGAATAACAATAAAGTATATGCTTATTTTTATTGTATTTTTTTGCTTTTAAGTTTTTATTTTTTAAGGTGGATTTGTTTTATGGATAAAATTATAATCTAGAATATACTTTGTTTCATTGTAGAACCATAGATGTTGATCGCGAAGGGGCGGTGTATGTCACTTCGGTATTATGGTAAAAGAGGGTTTTCAATGTTAGCATGTAGTTTTGAGATAATTGAAACTGAAGTGAAATTTGAAATGATAAATCACATATGTCTTGTCGTGAGAAGGAATATTTATAAGATAATTTGGACTAGGTTTTTTGAACTTCGGTTTAATCTAGAACAGTTGTTCTTAGGTTTGTCATGTTGTGAGACGTGGGAAGTCTTCAAAATCAGATCGATCATCTATGTACTCATACCCTCACGTAGAGAAGTGAGAAAAGGACAATTTATGTTTCTAAAACATTTAGAGAAATCTATGGTGAAAAACCTACGGGAGAATAGATTAGGGAACATCTCACTTTTAGGAACAACAATCAAACTTCTGACCGACATTCTATTTTATGTGATAGCTGGGATGACATGGTAATACGGGGATGCACTGTGTTGGTTTAGTCTTTAGATTCTAGACTTTATACTTGGGTTGATCCCAAGTTGGTATGGATCATTTTCGTATACAGTCATTCAAAAAAGTTGAGGGAGCCCAGATAGAGGTGGGTTCATCTTTTGATTGGGAAGTTTCCCATATTTACGAGGGTAAAAGAATTTGCAGTCGTTATGACGGATGTGTCGTCCCTTTCTATGAATTCCTTTTCACTCGGCTAAGATTCGGGTTACCTTTTACTACTTTTTAAAAAGATATGTTAAACCACTTCGCTATATCATCATCCCAGCTTCACCCATCTGCCCGGGCCTTTGCAAAAATGTCCCTACACTGGTGCGAGTATCGGGAAGTTGAGTCGTCTGTTAGGCTTTTCTTTAACTTGTTCTCAGTATCCCGGACTTCGAGGGACTCTGTTCATGGTCAGGGAATTATTCTTATTCGTCGATCGACCCTGATGTTCGGTGTCATAGATAGTTAGAAGAACTTTAACGGTTATTATATTTTGGTGACTCCCCTAACTTCAGTCTCACTCATTTTTCTGCAAGGTTAGCTGAAAATCTCCTGCTCCCACTCCTCCTACTTCTTCTTCTATATGTTGGGAAAAAGTTAGGAAATATTGGTCATGGAATCATTTTTAGGTGGATTCCCTCATGTATTCTTTTGTTAATGACAAATTGACATCGGACGAAGAGTCAATGAAGAAGGACCTGGTGTCCTTATGGAAATAATTAGGTTATAAGGAGGGAAAGAGTCATAAGGAATTAGGGCCCATGAAGCAGCAAAGACTCGAGTTATCTTGGATGCTTTTAGTGTTAAGGAAAGGAGAGGACTTTTTGGTGAGGAGAGGGTACCTCATCTTATTCTTTTTTATGTTAGTGATTAACCATCTTTCTTTGTTTACATAAATTATGGTGTCTTTCAGGAACCTTTATGAGAGGAGGAAGGCTAAGGAGTCCATGCATGCTTCTAAGGCTACTCTTTGTCTGATTGTCAAGAACTCGTTTGTGGTTGCCTTTGTTGTTTCATAATATGCTCTTCCTCCATTAAGTTCGACCAACAAAGGTGAGAGGATTGGTAAAAAGTCACATGTTCATCCTCCTACTTTTGTTGACGGCCAAAGTAAAATAAGTTGAGATAAAGATCCCATCAAAGAGGGTCCTGGAAAAAGAATGAAGACTTTTGACTCCCAGCCCATTGGAATTACTCTCGAGATTTCTACCATGGCATTTGCCAAACTATCATATACCCTTTCTTCTAGTGTACCTTGGACATCTTAAGTAGTGCAAAATGTTAGACGATAAGCTTTGATCTAGAGGATGTGAATAGATCACAATTATACAAGCAAAAACTTTTGGCAAAAATCTGTTTTCAAAAATATGGTGCAGCGGAAAAACGACCCGGATCGAATCGTCTAACCGAACTTATTATCGAAAAACTATGTGCACAACGTAAACCTTTTGGAATGATAATGAATACAAATCATTCAACAATTATCAAGTCATAGTTCAATCAAATGCAAAGTTATTCGTAATACTTATTTCCAATGAACACAAAGCGATAAAAAAAACACAAACAATTTATCGAATAATTTGTATGCGATTGATCATATTTTGAAATTCGATTTATTTTGTTAATATAAAAAGCCAATCATAACCAAAGTGATTCTGATTATATCAATAACAATTTAAAAGTCTGATGCTCATTGTGTTTTTCATTAGGGAGGAGCTGGACATGACACTGAGAATTGTTACCCATTGAGGATGGAAGTGCAAAGGTTGGTTAGAAGTGGTATATATATATATATATATATATATATATATATATATATATATATATATATATATATATATATATATATATATATATATATATATATATATATATATATATATATATATATATATATATATATATATATATATATATATATATATATATATATATATATATATATATATATATATATATATATATATATATGTATATATACACACACACACACGCACACACATATATACCACTTCTAACCAACCTTTGCACTTCCGTCTTCAATGGGTAACAATTCTCAGTGTCATGTCCAGCTCCTCCCTGATGGAAAATACAATGAGCATCAGGCTTGTACCACCATGGAGAATCTTTTGGAGCAGCAAGTGGTGCACGAGTCTGAACAAGATTCTTTAGAATTAAACCAGGAATCAAATCTGTGTAGGTCATTAGAATCAGATCAAAGTCCTTCTGAAAATGGCCTTGTTGACTATTTTGTTGGTTAGAACATTGTTGATGAGCAACTGGAGCTGAGTTGATTACTGGAATGACAGAAGCAACATATTGTTGATGGCTGTTTCTAGGTCTTTTATATTTCTCTCGAGAAACAGAATCGATCTCTCCTTCTTTCTTCTTGGAAAGTCCTTCATCATATTTCTTGGAACTTCCAGCAAGATTACCATCTTTTGACAAACGTCCTTCACGGACACCTTCTTCCAATCTCATCCCCATATTAACCATCTCAGTGAAGTCACTCAAGGCACTAGCAATCATACGCTCGTAATAGAAAAGACTCAGAGTTTTCAAGAAGATATTGGTCATCTCTTTTTCTTCCAAAGGAGGATTAATTTGAGCAGTAATCTCGCGCTACTTCTATGCGTATTCTTTGAATGTCTCCTTATCTTTCTGAGCCATTGCTCGAAGTTGATCATAATCGAGAGCCATATCCATATTATACTTATACTGATTTACAAAAGCCTCACCCAAATATTTGAAAGTGCGAATTCGAGAGTTGTCGAGTCCCGTATACCATTTCAAGGTTGTGCCAGACAAACTGTCTTGAAAATAGTGAATGAGAAGCTGATGATTATCAGTCTGAGTTGACATCTTGCGAGCATACATAGTCAAATGGCTCAACAGACAAGAGTTACCCTTGTTCTTTTCAAAGTCAGGAACCTTGAACTTAGGTGGGATCTTCACATTAGGAACTAAGCATAACTCATGGGCATTCTTCCCAAACAGTTCTTTACCCCTCAAAGCTTTGATTTCTTTATGCATTTCTGCAAATTGATCCTAAAAATCATCCATACGGTCAAGGACATCCAAACTCTTGCTTGGAGCAGTATGGAAAATTTGTTCTTCAGCATAAGGCATAGTGTGACCCACGGGTGGTGGCACAGGTACAACAGTACGAACAACCAGAATCTCAGTATTAGGAACAACATTAATCACATGAGGTGGTATAGTCATAACAGCAGGAACTCTTAGACCTTCAGAAACAGGAAGTTGATATCCCTCTAGCACATAATTGAGAGGCATGCCCCAAGGGAAACCAGGAGGCATCTGATGTTGAAAAGCATTAACCGGGGCCATAGAAATGGGTGTTGATACAACCTCTAAAATCCCTATTCTCTGCATAGGAAAGGGAGAAGGCGGTGGTAGTTGATTCTGAGCAGACATCAATGCTTCCATCATAGCACTGAGTCTCTCCAAACTATCCTTCAGGGTTGTCATTTCTTCACGAAGCTCACGATTCTCTTATTGCAATTAATTCATCTTTTTCTTGAGATTAGCTCGAGTGTTGTATTGGTGCGATAGCTTGGCTGAATGAAGACCAAAGGAAACATAAGACACCTGGAAAAGGCAAGAAATAATGCAAGAGATGATGCTTGATGTGCAATATGCAAATGCAAAACCTTCAAGGAACTCCAAAGATACAAAGTAAATTGCAAACATTATATTGAAATAACACATTTGAAGTACTAAAAATCTCATTTTATTGATAATGGAAAAGGATTACAACTTTTTAAGTACAAATTCAAGAATCCTAATCGAAACAAAATATAATAGAAATCCTAAGAAATCCCATGAGAAGAAGATCCTCTTTACATCTTCTTATTGAGTTCTTTGATTTGGTCTTCCATCTGAGTCTTCTCAACTACAAGCTTGTCGACAACCAACTTCCAAGCAACTGAGGTAGAGAGAGCGTTTGAATTCTGAATGCTAGAGGAAAATAAATCCTCTTGCACCTTTCTCTTCTTATTACTAAGCTCTTCTTCATTCTTTTGCTTCAACTACTTTTGAAGTTCTGCATTCTCCATGTCAACAATTTGTTACTTGTTCCTCCAAGCATCCCTCTCTTGTTGCATCTCATTCAAAACAATTTAAAGTTTCTCTGCATCATTCATGAAAATAAGAACGGGTGTTCTAGCATCTAGAGGTAAAGGCTCTTGACGCGGATAAGACATCTTTAACATGATCGCTCTAGCTTGTACCCATTGGAGATA